TGTGTTCGGGCCATGGAAGGACGACCAGAACGAGGTTTGTCATCAATTGACATTTCACCATTTTTGAAACGGGAAAACCACTCAAACACTTGAGTTTTCCCCATAGCATCATCGTTGTATGCCGTCTTTAACATTTCAAGAGTTTCTGTTCCACTTTTCCCGAGCAAAAAGCAGAATTTCACTGCCGCACGCTGTTCACGAAAATCAGTCATTGCAAAAACGACGAACACACAAAACAGTTGTCACTATGAACTCTGCCAAAACTAGTCCTTACCTTCTGAAGCAACGGTAGTCGGCTTATCGACTCAGGAATGTTAGCTCTATGTGCTCATAGTGGCAAAACGCGGTACTACAAAAGCTCTGCCCACAAGAAAATTAGTTTGGTTTCTTTTGGGTACCCCATCGTACCTCCATTCTTGTTGTGGTATGTTTTGTCCTGTTACCAATACATTTGTAGTCAAATGGAACTGCACACATTCCGGTACCAAGCAGCATCATGCAGTTTGGTCAGATGTTGCTTGGTCTTTGTGTGCTATAACAAAGTTTTTTATTGCACCTCACTTGTATGCACTACTAGGAGTGTTACTTAAACAGAAGGACAGCTTTTAATGTACTTACTAGCTGCTCCTATTGTTTTAATATTGGAAATACTTAGTGGAGAACATGTTCTCATACCTGCATCTGCCAAAGATGTAACTGTTGATTGGAGGTGCTGTTTATTTTGTTTTGCTATCATATCAGCCACCTGTGAAAGTGAGAGTTGGATGTACCCTTTGTTGTATTTGCAATAGATTGAAATTGAGTTTAAGATTTGAAACTAAATTATAATTTGACCACATTTAGTTAAAAACTTTTTTTATTAGGGATGGTTAATTGTGCAAAAAAAAAGTGCTCACAGCACTAAGTTGCCAGTTCCAGTAAACAATATACAATATGTTGTAGTCTGTGTGAATATTGAATAAAAATACCAAAATGTTTAGGGTCAATTAAAGGGAATTTGAAGATGATAAACTGTATGGAAAAAATTGTTGACCTGTGACTGTGATTTCTTTTCAGTATGATGGTGTCATTTTGGCTGGCAAGAAGAGTTAACATGATTGAAATTGAACATTGAGAGTGACTGATACATTATAAATAATAATAACAATTATGAAAGTTAAATGTGTCTCTTCATTTTTAATGGAACCCTATAAGTACTAATTCATTGAAATGCCATTAATGATCTTCAGTGTCTCTTGAATTATATATGTTAGTTTGATAAAAAGGTAAAGTTGTCCATGTGCTTAACTAATTAAGCACTCTGCCATGAAGGTGTATGGGGGATTGGATGTATAGACCTACATTATCTTGACCTTGGCACAGGCTGGAAGTGGTCAGCTTCATGCCCCAGCCACTTTACTCCTGGTACCCATTAGATAGAAAGTTGGGTGGACCCCACAGGCGGTCTGGACATGCAGAAGAAAATTCTTGACCCTACTGGATCTCAAGTCCAACCCTTCAGTTGTCCAGTCCATAACTAGTTGCTGTACCCACTATGCTATCCTGGCTTCATGTTATTTTTATAAACTTGAATTTTGTTGGCATGATGTGCCCCTCAGTTTTGTAGGTTTCCAGAACTCTCATGGAAATGATTTTCAACTTCGATTTTTTTTTGCAGCCCAGTACTGAAATTTCATTGTATTTAGTGAAGCATGGAGTTTTAAGGTATTCTATCAGACAAGTAAAACAGTTTTAAATTATGAAGAGAATTCCCTTTTCTTTGTGATGTATCATGTACTGAATTAAATGAAATGAACCTGGTGGATTTCACATCTCATTACAAGAAGGCAGTAGATCTCATTGCTGTATGTCACACCTCATCACAGGAATTTATTCTGGTTTTTATTTAGAATCTGGTGCTGTAGATAATGAGGGATTGGGATATATAGAAATGATCAAGGTTTTCATAAAGAGCACAGTGATCAACACGAAGGGCTTATATTTATTTGCACAGCTATCATCAAGAGTTACAAGTTCAGTGTACAGTTGAAAACTGGTGGAAAATGGCAAGTAAAGTGAATACTTGGAAGCTTCACTAGGATGTAGATAGGGAAGAGAGGTTCTAGCAACACTACATCTAGTCTTTTGTTTCAGACAGAAGATCCATGATGTCAAACTTTCAGTGACACGGCTTTGTAATCATTTGCATATGGTGAAAACTTTGAAAATATGAAATGCAGGCTAATACTGTACTGTGCTTCAGCTGGATAGGAGTGGAACAATAGAAGTCATCCCACTTTAATGCATCAGTGCTAGTCCTGAAACTGTAGTCATAATACATACATCACGTAAGCACTAGATGGTGATTGGTCAGTCATGTGCTGGCCACTTTGCTTAGGGGAAGAGACCTCAATACCCACTTAATCGGAGGTTGAGTGAATTCCAGAACCTCTCTTGATACTGGGGAGAAGAGAAAGATCTATCATCACTGGAAATCAAACCTAGATTCATCAGTCATCTAGCCAATACCACATTCAGTATATGTGTGGGGTATAAAGAAATGAGCCTTACAATATAGAATTATGTCCCATTTCCATGAAAGAAAATGAATTTTCTTATACAGCCCTCAAGTTAGGCTCCAAGGAAAGTGATATTCTTAGGGACATATATGATGGCAATCATACATAAATTAAGTTAAACTAAATAACAGTGGATCCCAAATAAGTTACACATATATATAAAAAGGAAAGATAGAGTTCTCCCTGTAACAGGCTGTGGAGGCCTATATGGTTGTGAGACATTGAAGCTCCCATATTTTCTAGACAGTCTGCTCACAAATGGTGGTGAGGTTGCTATTTACTCCCCAGGAAGCTACGTATATAGGAACTTAGAGTAAGAGCAAGTTTTATTTGTACAGTCCACAACTGGGAACAAGATTGTACATTACATTTAGGACTGCCAGTACAGTCCAATACTGAGAATGCCCTTTCCACCATAAAAGTAAATTGAACATTGGATTTTCATGGCTTGAGAATATATGATATGGTAATATGACGCAGAGGACTGTATTCTGTACAGATGAACCTGACTGAATGTCTAGCATCATGGAAGTTCCTGCCAGCATCTGACTTATACTAGTGTCATATCAGTACAAGGCTTCACAGTTCATGTCATCCAAACCTCATATCATACTAAGAACAGTCTTTTCCTCTGACAAAAAAAAAATCGATAAAAAGAGGCCACTATCAGTCTCATCTTTTTTAAGAGTTAGTTGTTTGCATTCATTCATACCCCTCACAAATCTAAAACTGTTAAAAGCTGCAGTCATATGAAATTGTATGAATCAGGATTTTGAAGATGAATCCATTGTTGTGTTGTTAGTGCTTTGTTTTTCATGGGAAGTGGTTGACTTCAAATAGCTATGTAAGCAATTGAAACAGCTCCTAGTGGAGTGCAGCTCTTGAAGTGAAGCCAGATGTATCATGTACTCATGAATGGTATTTCAAGATGCAAGGTCTGCTTAGAATTAAATTGATCTTTTATAAAATAAATTCACTGAGTGAGGAAAGCAGGTAGCAATTTCTTGGAAAAGATTCTGCCACCGGGACTGAAGTTTGTTTGCTCTGTGGTAGTTTGCAGATAAACAGGACATTCTGAAACATGATTTTGATTAGTGGAAGTCATATTTTGTTTGATTGTTATATGTAACTGTTGTGCATTGATAAGATAACAGCATCACAGACAAGAATCATGACTCATAACTATGTTAATGTTTGTATCCATAATTTAGCGAATTTAGTGCAGAATTTAAGTTTGTGAACTAAAGGTAGAAGAGATTCAAATAACTTTACAAATTAAATGTTGTTCTTTTCTGTTTCTATAGTAATTTGGATTTTATATTTAGCCCTTTCCACCATTTTGTTCTTCATGTGTGGTTGGATTAGATCTGAGATTGTAGGACAATGTTCATTCCTTTGAGTCATTAAATACACCTTTACAATAATAAATAACATGTAAATTTTGACACCATCAGGAACATAGAAAGTGTCTTCTTTATACATAAATATATAATAAAATTGTTTTCATATTGCATTGAACACAAAGTCAGAAGCCTTGGAAAATGCTTCCCATGTTGAAACTGTTTTCTTCAGCATATATTTCACTAAGTTAATTTTTTAATGCATTTCCATTGACAAAAAACATAAAATTTGCAAATTGGAATCTCAGTGTTGACAACCTCAAGGCTATATCCTAATGTGAGAATATTGGGATGTGATGAAGCTGAATAGATTGGTGCCAGCATTTTCAAGAACTTCCTGAATTCTTTTACCCTACAGATGGGTCCCCCTCCTTGGTGTCTCCGCCTTATCGTGGGTTTGAGTATGCCAAGGACCCTGAGAGCTATACCAGCGGTAGCGTAGCTACTGGCAGGGCCTCCCTTGCTGGACAGGTCAAAGGGTAGGCATCAGACGAAGAGAGACACCAAAAACTGATGTCGGAAGCAGCGACTTGAAGCACAGAGCAAATGATGCTCGAGATGGTTCAAGTTCGTATAGCAACAGGCGTGACCAGAGTGGTTTGAACGGCTGTTGTACTGCGATGTGGAAAGCAAATGGAAAAACTACCACATTATCACTTTTCCTGGATAGTCTCCTTCCAAAAACAGAAGATCGCATTAAGTGGAGAAACTGTTTTGGAAGAGACTGTGGACCTGTCGTCTGACAGATTACTGATGATGATGATGACAGATGGGTAGAGGGAGTAGCTGGTTCCCATGAAACGCTGGTATCCACAAAATTGCACAGTATTGCATTCTGAAAGCTCATAATCTTAAATCTTCTCATGTTCTCTGGTTACGTAGGTTTACATCTTGGATGCTTCATGTGAAGCCAACAAGCATGTTTGCTTCTTTAAATATGCTGAGAACTGGAAGATGGGGGGGTCTTCCTTCAGTGTAGGGATCCATATTTTTGTAAGGACCTTAATTACGCAAGGTATTATGTTCAGACAATATCTGGCTGGAATCACAGCAAGAACCAGTTATCGCGACTGAAGCTGCTTGTGTTTTTCCTTAGCCCCTTCAGGAAAATGTGACATACTGAAGAAAGAAAGAGATTGTTGATACTTGCTCTTCCAAAATCTCTTGATACATGATTTACAAACATCTCAAATTTGATAATTGATAGTACTCTATATTATGTAAAAGTAAGTAAAGTAAAGCTATCCCTGTACCAGGCCATGAAGGCCCATAGAGTTGTGAGAGGTTGAGGGTCCCACATTATCTAGACAATCAGCTCAAAGATGGTGGTAACATCAGCCTTACGCACCAGCCGCGCTTTGTTCCCCAGGAAAATTATTTAATTAATTCCTGGTACTCATTTCTGTTAGAGGGGCCTAGTGCGGCTGGAAGGATTAGGTCAACTGAAAAAAATCCAATGACCTGATCGGGACTTGAACCCATGACCTTCCAGCTTGTAGCGTGGCCTCCTATATTATGTAATGTGACACAAAAATTCATTTCAACACATCACTTTTTGTTTGCAGCAAACCACTATTTAAAATAATAGTTTCTTACTTGGATTTAATTTTGAATAACTCCGTTAACTTTTGGTAGGACATATGTGAACAATAAATGTACATTCCGCATGAAATGTTCTGTAAAATACATACTGAAAAAAAGGGGAATTAGGAAGTCCATAACTTGTAAATAAGAATGAAAAACAACTGAAACTCAAACAATGTAAAGTGATAACAAAGCCAATTAGACCAATAACAAACTGAAACAAAATTCTGAAGTGTTACATGTGATCTCTTAGAAGAGTTTACCATAATTTATTTGGTACAAGTTAAAAACATATTCATAAACTACATATGAACAGAAATTAAGATTATTAGCTACCATCATGTAACTGAATACACTGCATGTTACAGATCCAAAATGTTCAGGCTGAATGATGTTAATGTTATGTGCCTCATGGGTTCACTGACTGCTTCTTTACATCAGTATTCAGTGTGTTAAGAGACATGTCTTCTGTCTGAGATGTATTTAACATTCAATGAAACAATCTATTCTGCACCTTCAGGCAACTGAATAATCACACTAACAGTTCTGCTTAATGGCCATGTGCAATTAGCATACTTTGGTACAGGTAAAAGTAAAGTTATCCCTGTGTATAATTAATTAAGCATTATGCAATGAAGATGTATGGGGAATGGAGGTTAGCTCTACCATTCTTGACCTTGGCCCTAGATGGAAGTGAGTGGTCAGCTGTACCCCTGGGGATAGAGCTCCCAGTATGTGTTGGGTGGGTCTCAGACCTGGTCTTGACACTGGAGGAAAGAAAAATGTCTTGACCCTGACAGGGATCAAATTTTGGCCATCAAGCGTGTCACTGTACAGACAGCTAACCCAGCTCTACACTTTTATACAGGCCCCAGAAATTTGCCCAGTCACTTGCCACAGGCAAGTCAATGGATATGGTGGCAAGCATATTTTCAGCCTCAATCTAAGTGTATTAAAAGATGTAGGAAACATAGTTTATCAATATGCATATGGTTCAGGGAAATGAAGAATGCATTACTTCTATTACCTAATCTTAACATTAACATTGAATTTCCATATTTCTTTTACACAAGTATTTGTACACAACATACTGAGAGACGAGGGTTTTATTGAGTAAGTAGATTTCAGTTGTCTGTTTGGAGTTCTGGTTTGACAGCTGAGAGATTACATCCATCCCTGTGAGGTTACCTTCTTTGATAGCTATGAAATGGTACTAGGTAACAATTATTGTAGGCCAATACTGCATATCTCTTTGGATATTTTATGATAGAGTTATGTAAATGGTTTCAAATAGAACATCAGACCTAAAGAAATATGAATGTGTGAGATGGAATGCAATAGTGGATTTTGTAAACATATTTATGAGGGATTGACGTTTTCATGGTCTTGACTATGAAGGTTATTGTCTCATGGAATGTGACACTGTGTAGTTTGAATGATCTTGGCTGATATTTTTGAGCAACATCCTGTCTCCATTTTCAAGATATAAGAGTATGACTTTTCCACATCTTCAAAATCCTTGAGCATTACAAGTATTGTCCATCTAAGGGTTTCACTCTGCATAGGGGCAATACTACAAATGACGGTAGTGGTCAGATATTCATGGTTAAGGTCATACTATTACAGGTGGATTACAGGGTTTGGGTAACTTTCTGCCCTCATGATATGTGCTGTTACAAGAAGAAACAGAGCCTCTTAAATGGCCCATTTCAAGAGCAGAGTGGATCACAAACAACAGATGATTCAGAGAGCAGAGGAGGGAAGTAAAGAAAGAAAAAGTCGATAAAAAAGCTGATGAAAGACAGGCTAAAGTAAATAAACAAGGGGTAAAGAAGAAGGGAACATGAAGTTCGAAACAAGGACAGTGTGCTGAAAAGAGTCCTTATCATGATAATCCATATACCTCTAATGGTATGTTTTCTGTGCTCTTCTACCTTGAAAAGAGGGGCTTCATGCTCTTCTGAAAAGTCAGTAAAGATGTACCCAACTATACGGAGTCACATCTCAGGAAGCAGTAATTCTCATGGTTTTGAATGTTTATGTATTTCTTGGCCACCTGAATAGCTATCAGCTGCCAAAGAGAGACTTTGTTTAATGGAATTAAATAAAAGAAAATGAAAGGCAGAATAGGTTTTTAACCCATAACCAACACTTCCTGATCTCAAAATGTCAATGCTGAGAACATCCCTTTGAATATGGAAATGAGGTGCTTCAGCTATTTCACAGTGCCTGAACATCAGAGACCTAACATTTGCAATGGATTGCAGCTCAAATATAATGAGCAACAGATGTAACATATGGCAAGATTATGGAGGAACTATTTCTTGGTGTGAGATCTGTACATCTTTTCAATGGTGAGCCTCTCATTTTCATTGTAACCCAGGATACTTTCAATAGCATTCAGATGACCTTGGTGATTCTCTTTGTCAGTGAGGAAGTAGTAGATAGCAGACTTCAGGAACTGCAAGGTAATTTCAGGATCCATTTCACCCTTGCCAGTACGAGTCTCCACGATTCGTCGGTACATTGCCTGTAAAAAGTTACATATTCCACACTGTGAGGTGAGTCTCAGCTTCCATTTTTAGCACAGACTATGTCATTTTGAAAGTCTATGCAGGACGTTTGTTTTTCCCTTCACAGTTTTGTACAATGAAACGTGTACTCTATTTGATTTTCTATTACTCTGCACATTTGATTCACTGCACTTATTGTATTTGATAATGATAGAGTTTTAGTGTTAGGCTATTTCCATACAGAAATTTGGCTGTCATAGAACCTGTACATATACACATTGGCTTGTTTTTTAGTATTTATAAAAACAGTGGGAATGGTTGTAAACATGCATTGAGGTATGGGGAAACGTTAAGTTCTAAAATATTGCATTTACATCTTGCATACCGAGTAGTAATATCCTGCACTAAAGGTTAAGAAGAGTCTTCATATTTAGTTTATATTTCAGTTTTCTGCAGTCATGCCACTAAATACCAGAACTTACACTTATACTGGATCCATGTCAAGTACTCTATTACTCAGGGAACAGGTTTCACACATATATTTTTCTGTAAAAACATTATAAATAGAAGGACACATAAAGTGTGAACTGAGCAAGTTGGCTCAAGTGATAATTCTTCATAATTGTATTAAAGTGGTGTCCAATTTGAATGCTGGCTGGGATATTTTCATGGTTTTCCTCAGTCCCTTAAGGGAAATGCCAGGATAGTACATTAAATTAGGCCATGACTTCCTCTACATTTTTGCATTTTTGCATTTTCGCTAACATCCTGTCATTTGATGCTACATAATCATAGTTATCGATATCAACATTAAATAAATATACAAAAGCAAGTGCTAAATGAATATGTTACCAATTCTGACTAACATGTGACTCATATAAGTTATGTAGCCACTCTACCTTGATAGGGCACAGCAGACATATCCCACATTCCCCAGCTTTGTATTCGTAACCTCATGAGCTCTCATTTTTTATTCTGCAATTGATTCAGCAGTTTTAAACAACATAAACATGATAGTTAAAAATGAGTTCCGTGGAATCTCAGCGTTTCTCAAAGTTTCAGTTTGAATGCCAATATAAACATTTTTATTACAGTTGTAAACACAGAATTTCAAAAATAAAATTACTCCTATTTATTCCAGTAGTGCTAAATATACTGCAGCTGACACCCTCTTGTATTTTAATTTATTTTGTCATTTTCTTTTGTATGTATTATGAAACTGCCTTTCCCCGTGCCTTTCATTTCTGGTTTGGTCATGGCATAGCTCAGACTATACACTGGCTTTTCAGAGAAGAGGCCCAGGTTCAGTTCTAGGGTTGTTCATGTGGGATGTGTCGTTGACAGAGTTGCACTGAGGCAGGTTTCTCTCTAGGTATGTCAGTCTCTCCTGCCAATTATCATTACACCAATGTTTCATATTCATCAGCCATCATGGACTGGTATAGTTGGCTCATTTGAGGCCACAGTACCAAGGGACTCAAATCTCACCCTATTCCTACAACTAAAAAAAAAAAAAAATTATATTCTGGGTTCTGTCAGAATCGTGTGATGCCAAAAATAAGCCTCTGGACAACTGAAAAACACTAAGTTAGGCTATCCTAGCCAATCCCCATCCAGAAGTTCACAGTATGGATATTATTAGTGAGATACTCCTGCCTTTTTCGCCTATCACACCTACATTAAAGGTATATCAGGACTTAAAGTAAAGTGTTAGCTTTGATTGGTTGACATAACTTGATATGCTCACCAAATATATTCCAGAATTCTAAATGTCTGTACACAACATACCTATGTATATTTCAGTACAGTAAGTTACCCTTGCATACAAGGAAGTATTTACAAAATGGATGACATTGGAGCTTAACATAGAACAAACAATGACCAAAAATGTGAATTTACAGAATATCAGAAACAGCAACTACAAAATATGAAAAAAGTGACAGACAGTAAGAGGACAATACTATAAATGAAATAATAAAATAATGGATATATAAAAACCAGGAATCAAACCAAGTAATAACCAGTTGAAATATCAGTAATTCTGTTCCATATGAATTCAAACCCCCATATTCTCTGCTCAAGATAGTTATAAAAATGCTCACTTCTTTGGTCCATATAGGCCAGAAGTAAAGTAGAATGGATGAGGGAAGGATCCAAACAACACTAGGTAAATGAACCAGGTCATTAGGCTGGACTGTGTATGGAGCAGAATGAGAAAAAGTTCAGTTATTTAAATTACAAACTTATTTTGTCTTATGCTATAAGATAAGCAGGATGAAGCATATCTGGTACTCCTAGAATGGAACAAAATGTTCCCACAAATTAAAACGTATAGTCATTTACCACCTGTCACTATTTTGGATTTAAAATCTATACAGCAACTGAGAGATACTAGTTCTTTACATAGACTTATGTATCTCTTGTGAAAAATATTCCTGCTTAGATTTCCATGAACTATAATGATACAAAAAATAACAAAAGTTTTTCAGTTCCTTTTCCTAATTATTATCCATTTTCTTCTTCATTGTTATGATAGTTGTTTATTAAAAAAAGCTTCAGATTTATTGTGTTTCTTAGCACTATGCGTTGAAGTTTAATTCAATATCTTCTGTTGTCTAAATGAGACAGATGTTTACAGCCTTTATGGTATGCATCCTTTGGTGTGTCATATGAAAGATATATAATGGGACAGTCTAGACAACAATAATTCTGAAAGAGATAAAGTAGACACTATTGTGTCAACATTTGTTTTTATTAGCTCTTGGTGGTAATGCTACATGTTTTGACCCTTTTCTTGGGTCATCTTCAGGCATACAAAGATGCTGGTACTAGTTCTTGAATTGCATCATTGATCAATATGAATTCATATTGTGTTTTTATGAATTTTTATATTAACAAATAGACTTGCATTTAAATGTGGTTCAAATATAGTTTATAACTTGACATTAAAAGGATACAAATTAAAATCAGAATTAAAATAGTGATCAAGGTGTTTATAATTTATATTATAAGTCTTATTTGAGACTTTGATAATGCTACATATCCATATATGTGTTACTTGGTTGATCCACTGTGGTAGTGATACCTGTGTGCTGCAATCTTTCCCCAGCATCTGGGTCATGTTGATTTTTTACCTTCCCAGAAAAATGAGTTGTACTCTGTTTTATGTATATTATTTTTGAGGAAGATCAAAAACCAACACAACCCAGATTCTGAGGAAAAATTGCAGCACACAATTACCCCACATCACAACTATCACCACTACAGTGGACCAGCCAGACAACACATATATGTAGCAGTCACAAAATCTTAAATAAGACTAATAATATTAAGTTACAAATATGTTAATCACTATTGTAATTCTGATTCTTACTTACTTACTCATGGAATAAAAAAATAAAATTAGAATCAGAATATAAAAAATTCTAATTCTAATTTTATTTTTTTATTCTTTTAATGTCAAGTTCTAAACTATATTTGAACCACATTTAAATTAAAGTGCATTTGTTAATATAAAAATTCCTACAAACACAATATGAATTCATATAGATAAACGACACAATTCAAGAACTAGTACCAATATTTTTGTATGCCTGAAGAAGACCAAAGAAAAGGGTCGAAACATATAGCATTACCACCAGTAGCTAATTAAAACAAATGTTGGCACAGTAGTGTCTATTTTGTCTCTTTCAGAATCAATGTTGTGTAGACTGTCCCATTATATATTTATCTTACAGATTCTTACATTAGTAACTCATGCATGTTACATATGCAAATATGCAAAGCATTATTGTGTTACATGCTGTGCAGTTCACTAATTGGTGATGTACAAATCAAATTAATAGTCTAGGTGTATTGTTAATGTCTTAATGGAAGCCGAATAAATGTACAGTGCCTGAAGATACTACAGCATCCTGGAGAACTTCAAACAAACTAGTGTATTGAGAACATCTTAACATGCTGTTTCACTGGTTCCCAAATAAGCTGTTATCATGTGTGAACATATAGATGTTCAAATTCTCAGGCGGCAAAAATTGATGAGAAAGGGATTGTTCAATTAATGGTATAGACCTATATTACATATCAAGGTAAACAGTTTTTTTTTTATGGAATATGCCTTCCTCCAGAATAAACATCAGATCCACACATTTTTATCTCATTCACTCCTTTCTCTCTCTCTCTCTCTCTCTCTCAAAAAAAAAAAATGATGATCATGAATTTTAGATTTTTACACAATTTAAGTAATATATCAAAATGAGAGCGCTGATATAATCGCATCCTTCAGAACACCTTAATAATAATTCATTTCAGCATATGACAGAACATAAAATGTTTTAAGATTATATAAGATTTTAAGGGAAAATGGCATCTGGCCAGTTTAGTCAATCCTGAAGACAGTATCTTTATAATAACTGCAGAAAACAGAATTATTCATACATGCATAGTATTCTTCCATATGGCATCTGCCATTGATTGTGCATGTTCAAGAAGCCAAGAACAAATTTTTCTTGCCTAATGCTGTAGTAACTTAGACTGAGAATCAGATATCACTTTTCTCATTAACAAAGACAGCCTTGAAGCTAGTGAAGCTAAAGTGGATTTTATCAATCACTAATCAGTCAGCAACTTTCAACTTAGAAAAAAGACACAGTTCAGCATAAGGCTTTGGAAAAGTCTGTGATAAACAATGAAGAAATTATAAATTTTGAAGAATTCAGACAGTAAAGCTATATTATCACACCATAAAATCTCGCAGAGCAGTGGTCAGCACTCCACTTCATATTTTGGAATTATGAATTTTGAATATCAGCCTGGTGGCTAGCTATCTGACAGGCGTTTTCCAGGGTTGTATGTAATCTCTCCAGGAAAATGCTAGGATCGTAACCTGAATACAGTCCTGTTAACTTCTATGTCCTTTTCCATTCACAGCCAGTTTTCCATTTTACACTATAAAAGCCATGTTGTGGGCTTCAACTAAGGAAGTTCTCCGAAGACTGCATGACTATGATCAGATAGAGCAGAAATAAAGTGAGAATTACACCCAACACATGCTTAAATTCATGCCATGCAACAAATGAAATGAGCCACACACAACCAGAAAGTAACAGAATGGGCGAATCACTAAGGGGGTGGGCGACGTACCTTACGAGTACCAAGTATCCATAGAGATATGGCCTCCTTTGCACTGAGCAAAGCCGGCTTTGTTTTGTCTGTTTGTTGGTGGTCCGTATCCTGCAAGGTATGTGTTCGCCCAGGAGAAAAACCAGCATATCATTATGTAGCAGTATAATTATGAAACAGATCTTTTTGAAAAATTGCATTATGGTAAAACGTGTTTAGGAATTCTCATTAATTTGTGATCATTTCATGAGGGTCAAAATATTCAGTAAGATGATTCTTTCAATAAATATTTAAATATTTAGAGTATTGGGAATAGCTCATGCAAATGCATGGAAAGTTGCATGACAGAAATATGAATAATTAGGATGTGAATCTCATAATTAGTTCAAGTGTTTGATTTGTTACATACCATATTAATAATACAGAAAAATGAATGTTAGCAAATATATTTGCTTTGCAAGGATTGTCCTGAAATATGAATCAGTAATATATACTTACATTTGGTAATCTGTTAAATGTTTGTATGGAAAACTGTTTCACTGTTCCTCACCCACTGAAACAGATCAGCTAATTGCTATCTCCAATCAAAGGTGTGGTCATGCTTAACATGGCCAACTGTCCCTGGCACAGCCCCCAGTAGTAGTTTAATGTCTTATAATAATGTAAGGTCTCTCCAGTCATCATACATACCAAAAATAGTTTATCTTGGACCCTATTTGTAAAATTGTTTTCCATTTATTAGCATTCATCTTAAACCTGTTGCAAACCTCTAGACAATGAGGATGGGGGCAAAAAACAAAGCATTCTCAAAGAAAATAGAGAAAAGACCCTGAACTTCCATGCAATAAATAAATATTGTGGATAAATAAAATCAGAATAATACAAAAAGTGACCTGTGAAGTTATTTTAAATGTGCATGCAAAGTTTTGCCCTGGTACATCAATAAATTAGGTAAACAAAATTCTAATAAATAAAGACAGGAGTTCACGTAGAAAAATGCATTGAACTTTTTTTAAAAGTGACTAGTGCTGAACTTTTAAATTGGTAATATAAATGAATAAAAGAGAGAATATCCTATGAATTTAATTCAAGGGTTCATGTACTGTGACATATATATATTGTGACATGTGAACCTGTTGTTTTTATACAAATTTTCCTTGTAGACTAGATCTTGTGTCATGCATGGAACTTTGTGTTGTGTGTTGATTTGTTGCTGCAGAAACGTGTTTACTGCTACATTGCATAGCAGTAGCCACCTTGTCTGTTAATCTCTTCAGGCTTTCAGCCATCATGTCATATTGTATTATGTACCCAAATGTTACTGATTTCTCAGATTGTGGTTTTCTGGATTTTGACACAGTGTAATCTTGTTGTATACTGTGGGTGTAATATTGTTGGTGTATACTAAGGATGTAGAGTGAGGAGTCGGTTTTCTAATGCAGGTTGCAAGGAAGTGGTGACGCAGACTTGCAGGAGCCTGGTCTAAGCAAATAGAAATGGTGATCAGGAAAGCAGCTCTCTTCAGCATAACAATATTTTTTGCCTGCCAATAAAAATCAATCAATTCTTCACCCTACACACTTCCCTCAGAACTAAAGATGGCAGGCAATGTGTTTCTCTGAAGTATTGGTGTCTGCCTACAAGAGTACATAGTTTCACAATGCCAGAGACCACAGTCTGAATGATCTCTCTAATGAAAACCTCAAAACCTATATTACTGATTTCTGTTTTCCAAACAAACATTTCACAAATTCCAAAACTGAAGCCCATCCTGCCACCAAAATAAAACAAACATTCATTGGTTACTGCCCTTGACCATCCTCATTAAATATTAGCACAGTGACCAAGACCATAGCCAGAATTTTATTTTTGGAGAGAAAGAATATAGTGGGAATGCAAGATCCACAGACAGTTCTCTTTTAATGAATCTCTGTCTCTACAGACATTTAAACTGTTTTAAGTATTATTATTTCTAGGTCATGAAAAACACAGTGGAGTTCAGTTTGCAAGCAATGGGAATAGTTCCATAATGTCATGGAGGAGTGAGGGTCCATAGAAGTTCAGTGACAGTATCTACTTTTGCCATAGTTTTGTTTCTGTACTAACAGATCAGGTCTGTACACAGATTTTGAATTTAAAATGAAAAATTAATGAAAATATCTTTCATAGTTTTAAATTTAATATTTCCAAATCTCTCAAAGATATATATTATAAAATCCTTCCTATTTCCATTGCTAAAAATAATTATCAGAAATCAGTAGAGCCAGTTTAAAATACTGTGGCAATGAAAGGATTAAACTCTTATTTAAGTCAAAAATGGGTATATAATTGTATGTGTAATGAATGAAGTTTGAGTTTGGTGATAGGACTTGATATAATTTTTCAAGCCCTGATTATTGTAATAAATATGAATATTTTTGCCAGTAATTTCCACTGTACAATTAAAAAATGGAAACCTCAACATCTGTTCTCACCCTACTCTCACATAAGGACATTTAGTGCATTTGGTGCTTTATGTTTATTTCACCAAATGGAAGTAATTATGCTGAGACTTTGTCAGTGACCTTACATAAATGTAAATATTATCTTCTTAAGAAACCAGTCTTAATAATTTTCATAACATAATTAGTTAATGTTTAGAGGTGACACGAGAATTTTAATTGCTGTTTCTATGGTACCTCGCAGATGGACATTCAAAGATGCAAGTGTGATTGCTTGAAGAATTAATTACAAATTCTAAAAACATCTATTGTACGAATTTATATATGTGGTATGTGGCCTAGGAATAAGCATCTGGCCAAGGTCTTGCACCAAACCAATCAGCAGAAAGCATAAATTTACACTGAGCACAGGACATTACAGTCAGCTGAGGAAATACTATAAAAAAAAAACCAGGTTCATGAAAAGCAGAATGGTTGCACTCATTGAGTGCTTCAGATCATGACATAGTAATGGAAATGCTTAGGGAACCTAATAATAGATGAATTTTTAACATCTGAAAGCATTTTATGTGCTATGAAATGTTTCACATTCCAGTTCAATTGGCCTATAAAATATCTAACATTTAAAAAATCTGATAGGCAAAAGTATTATCAGTCAGGAAAAAAGTAATGTACACAAATTTTGTTAAAGATTACTGTCTTCTTTGGTGAGACTCCATGTAGTCTGGTGCCAGGGACTAGGTCTGTGCTGTCGTTTGACCTGACAGGCATTCCCCTATTTGAATGCTGTCCCACTTTTTTGATCTATACATGAGATCAGACTTCAGGAGGGACAGGCAGAGTTAGATGGAAAAGTTTGGTTGTTAGATGACTCACATAGATGTGGAAAGTTTGGTGAAAGAATAAGAAGAAGATAGGTATTTGATGAAGTGTCCAATATGCCAGTTAAACGAATCTTCAGGTTAAATAAAAGGCAGAGAATCTGTGGAATAGCTATGCAATTATTAGCTTTTCAAAAAGGACTCTGGCACATAAGTTAGTTCATTAGTTAGGTAAATCAGTTGAGAGAGTGAGGATGTCTAATGGAAAGAGGAACCTATGAAGACATTGCTAAAATATCAGCACAGATTATTATACTCATTAGAAATGTGAAATTTAATAATGAAGAGATAATTTTAGGTGGAAGAAAAATCAGTTTTATAAAATATTTCAAATTTAGTATCACAAAATAGCTTTAGCACTGGGTTTATTAAATGCAAAAAATGTGTAGACATTATGATATGTTTTAATGTTTGACTCAAATAATATTTTTACCTTACCAGAACATTCACATGCCTTAATCAGGTTTATACATAATGAATCTGGGTATGAAAACAATGACAATAAACACACTGAGCAGAATTCAAACACACACATCTAGAAACTTCAACTACTTACAATGGCAACATGAACTCAGTGTTACCCACTCACCTTGATGTTTTCCAGTTCATTCTCAGTGACTTGCAGTTGCTGAAGTAACTCTGGTACTGATACTCGTGCAGGGGCTCGATGGGCAAACTCCAAAACCTGCCAATCACACAGTAATAACACATATTCTCAATGCTGTCATTACTGTTGAATCATGATGAAAGTTGATACAACTGTTACATATAGGAACTGCGAAGGTTCTCTTGGAATACACACACATATAGTAGTTAAAGTGTGTTTGGACACAGCAGGATATCATCTTGCTTTAAAAAGTTACACCCACTACTCGTGGTTGATTCTTATGAATGTCCACGTATATTTATTGCAACAAATTCTGTTAAATTTAATTAAAAGCTTATTAAATTTAACAGAATTTATTGCAATAAATGTAGATGGTCATTTAAGAGAGGTATTCTGATAATACACACATGGACATACAGTGAATTCCAATCAAGATCACTGCTCAGTGCTGAGCTTGAAATGTGGACACAGTAAAAGCCAAAACAACTCCCTCTCATCTTTGACTCAGCTGACTTTCTGAAACAATTGTAGCCCTGAACTTTGAGAAATGGTTGCCAGAACATGCAGAATTTGACATAAGGAAGAGACATAAGAATAAATGCCCTTTTTTGAGTTTCTGCTGTGATAATACCTATTAAGAACTGAATAGGAACTCTCATCATTTGATATATAAGTTTTTTTAATATCTGCTTCCCCTGCTTTCCTCCATATTCCTTTCCAGGAATCAATTATACATTATTATTATTATTATTATTATTATTATTATTATTAGAGGGGGTGGGTCTCCCCATGCACTTAGACCAGTTATTGGTCCATTGTGCATCCCCCTTTAATTTCTACTGTCGCCATACCCTACTAGTACTGGTGCGTGCTATCAGCCCCATTCAGCCAACGAGGTCGGTCGTCGGTACCTGATATTTCCCCCATCTACCATAGGCATTGGAAACTACTTGGGTGGGAAATTGTTGCCTAATTTTGCTCAGAGGTCTCCTAGAGACATGAGGATCTTTTACGTGCCGTAAATCTATGACACGGGACCCACGGCTTAAAGTCCCTCCCGGAGGACTTGTTCCCTGAATTTTTCCGCCCTTGAAAATTCCACGACCTCCGCATGGTTGGAACCCGCGTACCTTGAGTCATGAGGTGGGAACGTTACCCCTAGACTATGGATGCCACTTATCAATTATACATACATTCAGACATTTGATAGAGAAATCTCTTGGAAAGGAGCCACTTGAAAAGTGAAGGAGATGGGAAATAGCAAAAAAGGCAGACCTTAAAGAGATGGGTTATTAAAGGTGGATGGAACTGCCTGAAATAAGAAGTTCAGTAGAAGGCTTTTGGTATTAGTGGTGATGGTGTCAGATTGTGAGTGTTATTAAAATTTCCATAATACATCACGTTATTCAAAACAAGCCACTTCCTGTTTCTTCAACTACACACGCTTGTATCCTCTCACCTGATCAGCATGCTCAAACTTGGCTGCTTCCTGTCCTTTCATATACATCTTCAGGTACATCGACTTGTGCCTCTCCTCCTGTTCTTCCATGCTCCTCCTCAAAGATTCATTATTCTTCTCCAGCTCTCGGATCTTGTCCTTAGCTTGGTCATAATCTGCTCGTAGCTCACAGAACCTACAAGTAGACAAAAATATCATGAAGATTACTACCTTATGAGATATGATGCCAAACACCCAGGTAGATAGTCACTAATGGGAAAATGATGAAAATGTTTATGAAATATTTTACTATATTAAATCCTACTTATTTACTGAATTAAAACTGTGCATGGATACAAGTAAAATTTAAATTATTCTTGAGAACTCAGCAACCCTCCTCAGAGTAGAATATGACCCACAGTTTGAGAAACCACGCCATACACCTTTGCTAGAAATCATTCTTTTAGAAATAACATGTAGAACTTTGTAGAGTCTCCCACATAAGTTTATCTTTTTTGCTAACCTGTTGTTAACATCACTGAGTTTCTGCAACAAGCTCTCCACTTTGTCATTATGTCGCTCCTTCATCTCCTGGCACTCATCCACATGGTTCCGTTGCATCTCCTCCAGCCTCTTCTCATACATGGTAACAATACGAGTCCTCTCTCCCTCTCTGTCTTCAGTAGTTGGCCCATCTTCATGGGCTACTGAAGATTGAGCTAGGCCTGGTGAGTGAGGTAGTGGGCCTAGATGTGTTAGTGAGTCTTTGGAGTGGATCTAGAACATTTCAAATCTGTTATCAGCGCTTGATCCACAAAGAAATTAACTGATCAGGAGTTCTTGGAATGTGTGAAATTCTTAAAATGGATACAGATCAAGCAGATATATATAAAATTATGTAGTTGTTAAGAATAAGCCTCAAGGCAAAAAATCTTGTCAACAGCCATAACATAATTTTAGAATTTTTATTACAAAAAGCATCAGTGGTAATAGTTACTGCACAATCCCTGCCCCTCTGTTATCTCAGTAGTCATCTTGTATCTTTTTTTTAATTGTTCATTTATAGGTTTGTTTTCCAATTTTCAGTGTCTTTATATAGTTTATTCCCTGTTATCGACTCTATGCATACATCTCCAGAGACAATCAGGTGTCTTATTTGCTATTGTATAACAGGTGATAATGACCAAGTATCCTCATTTATAATAACATAAAGCTTACGTAAATAAAATTAAGCAATTATTTGGACATGTAAACTTACTGATGATGATGCCATATCTTCAAAGTGGCCCGAGTCAGCCAGGGATGATGGTAGGTCAGAAGTTGTGTTAATGTTATCTAGGAATATTGAAGATGAGACTTCAAGAGTTTCACAGCCATCTACCCCATCTTTAGTGTCTTTCCTGTCACCACCATCACTCAACTGCTCATGCAGAGATGTTTCATTTCCTTCTATCTCATCACAGCTCTGAGTGGTGGCAATATTGTTTGTGGAGTCTGTTATCATTTGAGGTACAGCCAATGATGCTTTATATAATCTCAGTTCTACAACCTCTTTGGTTAGCCGAATTATGTCTTGATCCTTCTGTGCTATGTCTTTCTGCGCTTGGTTTAGAAGTGCCTGTCAATGAAGTGTGAATCAAACTTGAAACTAAACTCTGCAAGTTCATACAGAACACAGAAAGGCATTAAATAAGAACAGTGTACGTGAAGCACACATTAACTACTACAGCACAGTGGTAACTATATACACCATTTGCTTGAACACTAAAATCTCAGAATTCTGACCACACAGTATTTTTTATGTATCAACCCATAGAACATTAATCAACTGGTCTTCATAGTGGAAACAGTGTTTTTTTTTTGTGGAGTAAGAAATTAATCTTTAAATACTCTATTATTTAGATGAGCTTCAGGCTTCAGAGGGTTGAAAGAATTCCCTGCAAAGAATTATAGGGTTGACTATGCTCATTTCAATTTTATTTAAGTACATTTATACCTTTACGCAATCTGGAAGAACAAATTCATAATGGCCTAAGAACTTGAGTTTTGTTTACACACATTAAAGAAATCTCCCAGATATATTCATGAAGATCCGATTAGAGGGTTTGCCACTGATATTTATGGGAGAAAAATATACACCCCTTTATTCAGAAATTATGTGACGTGTGGAAACAATGTATGGAAGCATTCTTGGTTCTCTCAAATTTCAGCTCCCTATCTCATTTAGTTTAACCCTCAAAACAGAAAAATATTGTTTTTACCCCATTACCCCAATTTGACATTCATTAGTAAATGTTACAGTAAACTCTGGAGTTGAAACTAAAGATTTTCGTTTAATCATTACCTTCAGCTTGCGTATCTGTCGGTTGGCCCTCTGTGTAGGTGTGAGGTACTCTTCTGTACCATCCATTTGTGGTGAGCAATGGACAACATATTTCATACGTCGGCCAGAGAATGTCGTGCCATTGCAAGCAAAGTATGCATGGTCACAGGACATTGCGCTGCAAGCACTTCCAAAACTTTTAAGTGAACCCATGTCATCATCTGTTTCTGCTGCTTCCTCCGGGGATGGTGTTGGTGTGTGAGGGTATGAGCTGAGAGATGAGATCGGGGTTCCCAGTGGATGATTGTTGCTTACAGACTGCCGAACAACCAAAACAAATACATAACTTGGCATGGGGAACACATTAAACATAGATTTTGTACAGTACAACAGGGTTTAATGACTCCAAATATACTTAGTATAAATAAAAGTTTAACATGGTGGAAATTAAAGAACATGTCACCCCCATTTTCAGGATCAAAGAATAAGCCAGGTACGAAACCAACATGAAGTAAATAGTAAGCAAGTTTTTACCTTACTATATACTACAAACTCTCAGAATTCATATGTGATCCTGCATAGATGTAGAATTTTATTTTGACCTCTCTATGTTGTATTTATAACCCCCAGCACTTTCATATTTTATTTAGGAAAATTTTCACCTAGCATTTTGTGCAATATTTGTACTGTAAACGATAATTTTTTGTCTTGCTTTATTTATGTATGTTTCATCTGATGACGACCATGAGATGGTTGAAACATGTAATGAATACGAAATAATTAAACGCCATCTTTTAATTATAAGTTTGCGTTAAGACTGCATGTTTACAACTTGTACAGATTATTATACATATATTTTTTATGCTCTCCATTAATTTTTCTGACTTCACAGTTATGAAATGGGATAAAACACAGTGTAGTCCGTTGAAAGTCCACGACGTTTCGGAGGAACATATCGCTTCCATCTTCAAGGTCGAAGAATAGGCCAAACAAGAAAGAACTCTTCTTGCCAATTGCTTTCACGCTGGTTTCTTGATTGGTTTATTCTTGGACCACGAAGATGGAGTTGATATGTTCCTCTGAAGCATCAGCTGACTTTCAACAGACCACATGGTGTTATATCACATAAGATAGCACTCTTCATGATGACTGCTGTGAGAACCTCAAATTCGTAGTCCTGTCTTAAATAGCTTTCCTATGCAAGGTCTGTGGTCCCCACACTAGAATCTAAATTACCGTCTTCTGGGATGTGATGCTTTGTAATTTGGTTAATGGGTACCGATGTTCTAGATGAAACTGCTGCTTCTATATTTTACCTGAAGATGGAGGTAGCACATGCCTCTGAACTGTAAGCAACCCATATACCAATTACAGGACATCACATACCAAGACAATGTTCTTAGTCTTTGTATGCATCTGTTCATTTTGGATTGTATTAAAACAGACGTTTTTGGAGGCTATATTGTCAATTCTGTTAATATGAATTGACTGTTTACTTTACAATAACCTGTTTTTGCATTTAATCACCAAACATTTCAATCATTTTCATACCTGTGTAAAATCTTAGTATTGTGAATATTCACTTATTGTGTAGAAAATTCAATTTTAATTTTTTATAATCTAAAGACAGTAAAACCCTTCAGTTCTTAAAAAATTTTGTTCCCAGTATTTGAATGTTACTAACATTTCTCTTCTTCTCTTTAACCCAAGTTTTACTTATACATGAAAACAATGGAACCACCTTTACTTTACGAAATTTCAGCTTCAGTTCATTTTATACTTGTTATTTTTTAAATACTTTATTTATTGTCTTACATAGCCTTTAACATTAATTTCTTTTGATTACACTGCTACGAGTACATGGCATTAAAGACTAGAAAACCTACTCTTCATAGTCACTGCCATGAGAACCTTAAATCCAACACACAGTATGATTGTCAGATGTGTGTTTTGTGTAACTTAAACATGCCTTTCCTCATGCCTATCAGATAATTATTGTGTGTAAAACAACTTTCTTTTGGAATACCTATGTACTTTGCAGCATTTATTGTGATAATCGAAAGTTTAGTAGATGTTAACAATAGGTACATTTGCACATATGGCATTCAAGGCCAGGACTTGATATAAAGGAAGTCAACTATGTACATATACCCTTTCACACAGAACAGCCTTGTGGACAAAATACTGGTTTAGGTATCTGATTAAAACAGAGCATTGTACTTTGCAACACTGACTATTTCAGCAGTTACGTGCTGTTCTTGACCTTAACGCAACATAGTTAAAAGATCTAATTATAACTCACAAAGCAATTAGACAAACTACAAAATAAAAAAGTAAGAATCTGAATATAAACCAGTAATGCAGTCATGAGATTTGAGGTTCTCATAGCAGTGACTATGAAGAGAGTTGTACACACTGTAAAGGTCATAACTATGCAATATTCTCCATCCACCAGTTATTTCATGTGTTGCATAGATGTAAATGTTCTCCTCAGCAATCCATTTTAAAATAACTTCAGTTTATGCTCTTGCATGGTGAGTGATGAAGTTTCACACTCATACAAATAATATGCAACATTACAGCTTATTTTAATCATTGGGTCTTTTAGATATGATACAAGAAAGTAGAATATTCTTAACTTATGGATTTGTGCACTATGCACAATGATTTAGCCCTGAAGTCTGTTTATGGGACAGCACAATTATATCTCATCCACCAGCCACAGTCTGTGTCATCACATATTAGAATATGAGGCTTTGTTATGTCCTGCTGTTGACAATTGGTGTACAGTGTGATTCAGAAAGTCCACCAGTATGTCATTGAGATATGTCTAATTGGCTGCAGCAAGTAAAAAAACAAGTTCACAGTGAGCTGATGGATTAGCAAAGGAGTTGCATCATTCATATTGCTAATGTCTCATCTAACAACCAATCACTGTCCTAATGACACTACAACAACGTATGACACTATATGTATGTGTCGAATTACCGATCTCCAAACGTTATTGTTCTAATTTTCATTCCGTGCATCCTGTTGTGTCATTATATCCAATTCTTTATTAGAGTCTGTTGCAACACAACAATACAATGGTCAAAGTTAAAACTAGCTCAGCTACATGTTTCGGCTATTAAAGACATCATCAGGCAAATACATGATTAACATATTCACACACTACTGAACTGGATTGCGATAATGAAGCTGGATACTTGATAATTATTACATTATAAAATATACGGTAAAAAATACAATGAACTATAAACTTATAAAATGAAAGTTATGGTGTAAAATAAGGTAAAAACTTTTCATGTGATATTCCATATCGTCAAGTCAGTTGTTGCAATTTGTTATATCCCTGCAGACATAATGGTATATTCTAGACTTGTATACATGTAATAAACTGAGTTTCAATCTACATTCCCCACAGAATGGACAAATTACATCATAAGATGAGGAACCAGCTAAACAATTAATGTTAAAACTATACTACATCTATACCACGGGCCTCCATGATGATGTAAAATCACATATACCCTGATAATAGACTGTTATCTGGATTAAGACATGACTGCCACAACTGTGGTGCCAGGGAATTTAAACCCACACTCAAAGACAAAAATTTCTCAAGCTGTAGACTGCTAGGAGGTGACCATTTTATCGTCACCTGCTTGTCATGTCCTTACATTCACTTCACAGTTGTGTGATACAGATTTATTCAGGGGTGGATTAAGGCATAGGCGAAGTAGGCCATGGTCTAGGCCTTTAGGGTCATGCGGGCATGCAGCTCGTCTAGGATGAGAGGTTGGAAAGTGCCTATGACTTTTAGGTGCAACAAAAATAGTATGTTTTCCACTCCCTGGTTGCATTGGTCGAAATAAATAATAAAGAGTCTAACACATGCCTAGACCCAATCACATTTTTCACTGTCCTGGGACCCAGCACTGAACACTGACCTAGGGCCCTGCAAATCCTAAAACTGCTTCTGGATTCATTGGCGAAATTCAACGCAGCAAAGATTTCTGTGATGGAATGGCGAACTGAATATTACTCATGTTACCTGACTGCGGTAACGACAGGACGGCCTGCCGGGCCAGATCTTCGTGCAGGATTGCCCGCCCTCCGCGATGGACTCTGGGAACGACCGGGGACTAGATCTCTCTCCACGCAAGCGTAGCGATGCCGAGCGTCGGAACACCCTGGGATTCGGAACCGGGATGCGACTCTCATCGTCCTTACTTTTACGTCTGCTGCCGCCGGTCTCCCCGCCAGCACCGTCGTTCATATTGTCTGTAACAGGGATTTAGAGGAACTTTCGGTTATTAGACACTTGGTCCTCTTTAGCACACACATACCGTCAAACTTCCAGTAACATTCGTGTTGGGGATGTGCCATAGCTCAGGCGGTTAGTCGCCGGCTTACCACCGTGGTGGCCCGAGTTTGATCCCAGGTGCGGTATGGGATTTGTAGTGAACAAAGCGGTACTGCTGCAGGTTTTCCCCGAGTGCATCGGTTTCCCCTGCCAATTCTCATTCCACCAACCGCTCCAAACTCATCATCATTACCCCTGGCCTGTACAATGGGCCAAATATTGGCCGACGTACCAAGTGTTCAACTCCGATATTCAGCCATATTCATCCATAATTAGCTTTAGTTTACATGAGGCCATAAACGGACATTCCCCTGTATCCCACAAACCGTTTCACAGATTTTGCTAAAATTCAATATGGGAGACCTCAGTAGTCTACATTTAATTATTCCCATTTTTGAACGAACTTAACGGAAGCCAAAGACCGTCGATGATAATTTTGTTTGTTAAGGGGTTTTATGAGGGTAACGTGTTGGCTTCTCACCGCAGAGCTTCGCTTTCAAGCCCAGGTGACTGAATTCAGGCGGGGTTCTTTATGGAGGAAGTGGCATTGAAGCATATATCTCTCCAAGTTTCTTCGGTTTTCCCCTGCTAATATCGTTCCACCATTATGATATAGTCATTTATGACCTCCACCAAGGCGTACGATAGTCCTGACAAAGCAGTACATTATCACAACCTCGATCTTTACAGTACTGTCTTCATGTCCGAACCGACTCGGCTCATGAGTGGTTACAGAGTAAGGAAGTTAGCTTTCAGTGTGGTATTAGTTCTTATATTAGCTTGCAGTCATAAGTCTGTACCTTCAGTATTGTAATTATAGCTACAACAAACGAACATCAAAGCCAATCACACACACAAAGACTCATGGGAAACTTTGAAATACAATCTTAGCAATGTGCATCCTGTTGTGTGTCATAAATAAGATATACAAAAGTATATAAGGTAAGCAGTCTACACAACAATGTTCTGTTTTTAAAAACAAAGAAGACACTGCTTTATCAACATTTGCTTTTATTATGCTTTTATAGACGCTTTTATATAATGTTTATGTATGTTGATACAGCAGTGGCTTCTTTGTTTTTAAATACAGAATATTGTTGTGTAGACTGCTAACCTTACATACTTTTGTATATCTTATTTGAAGTGGAAGTGCAATCCATATTAGTGTATACTTTCCCGCCCTTCATATATTTAATTACAAGAGTCGAGATAGCTCAGTCGGTATAGTGACGCGCAACGGACTGGACGACTGAGGTTCAATCAACAGGGGAAAGAGTCCAGACCGGCTCTGGGGCCCACCCAGCCTCCTACCAAATGGGCACCGGGGGCTCTCTCCGCGGGGGTAAAGTAGCAAGTGCGTGAAGCTGACCACTCACCTCCAACTAGTGCCGAGGTCAAGAATGGTGGAGCTATACCTCCATAACTTGGTGTTTAAATTAAGCACAGGGACAACTTTACCTTTTTTTTTTGTTTATATATCTAATTACGTCGGATTTCTGCCGTTCACTCGTCAAGATAGTAAATAATCTTTGTCGACGCTTAGACCTATCTTGCAGCAAGCTTACATGCAGTAATTATAAAGTTTCTTCCTGGAGGAGACTGCAAACCCTAGGACAGGATCAATAGGTGCCCCCACCCCTCGCATATCTCAGGCCCTGCAAATGCACATCAGCGCGGGCGACTCCGGGAGTGCCTCAAAACCACCATCCCCCCCCCCCC